CCGCCCGCCGCCGGCACCTTCGCCTGCGCGCAGCGGCCCTTCGCGCAGCCCGCAGCCGCAGCGCCCGCCTCGCCCGCCGGGCCCGCGGCGCCCGGGGAGCTGAGCTGGCTGTCCATGGCCAGCCGCGAGGACCTGATGAAGATGGTGCGGCCGCCCTACTCGTACTCGGCGCTCATCGCCATGGCCATCCAGAGCGCGCCCGAGCGCAAGCTCACGCTCAGCCATATCTACCAGTTCGTGGCCGACAGCTTCCCCTTCTACCAGCGCAGCAAGGCCGGCTGGCAGAACTCCATCCGCCACAACCTGTCGCTCAACGACTGCTTCAAGAAGGTGCCCCGCGACGAGGACGACCCAGGTGAGGGCGGACAGGTGCTTCCCGGCCGGTCCCTTACCCCCGCACCCCCGCCAACTCACACACACGCGCAGAGACTGGCCAGTTAGGGTTAAAGGTAGAGAACCTGAATCCTCAAGCAGAGAGCTGGGTGATGTTCCTCCGGCCGTTGGAAGGGCCGGTCGAGTTTCAGGGAGGTGGATTAGGAATAAGAACACGGGTGGGCTCTCAGATAAGGGATGGCTGTAAAGATTCAGATGAACTGAGAATCCCATTACATTTCACGAGAGAGGTGGGGAGAGACCGAGAGTTGGAACACGCTGTCCGTAGATGTACATCCTCCTGCCTCGGGTTCCAGAGAGACTCACTGTGCCCTTCGTGGAACACGTACTGTCCCTACCTTAAGACATGATTCGAGGATGGTGGCACGGGCATCGCGAGACGGGGGTCGAGGGATCAGGGAGCTTGAGCTGGGTCCTGCAGATTGTGGTTTGGGAACCTTATGTATCTAGAAATGTAAAAATGAAAACCCCAAGTTTGCTTCGTTGGGATCTAACCCCGGGGGTGAGGAGGGCTGGGTTACCATGGTGTGTTAGTGGTTTTTCCCTCTTACCTGAGGAGTGAGGTGGAGAAAAGCTCAAAAATGAGAGAAACAGAATCTTACCTGAGGTTTTCAGAAGGAGCCCAGGACTAGGGGTGTGAGGGAAGACTCGTGATAGGAAAAAGGGAAGAGAAAACTGTTTCAGTTGCCCTCTACAGAGATCCAGGATTTTGTGTAAATTATGTGAATGCTCTGGAGTATTTGTACCTAAAGTCATTCTAGAGCAGTGCTTTCCAATTGAAATACAGTACGACCCACACGTGGCTGTGAATTGTCTTGTAGCCACGTGAAAAAAGTGAAAAGAAGCTGGTGAAAATGTTTTTTAATTTCATTTCAACAAATATAAAATATTATCAGTGAGCTACTTTCCATTATTCTTTTGGTGCCAAGTCTTCAAACTCCTATGTGTGTGTTTTACACCACATCTCACTCGGGACTAGCCACTTTTCAAGTGCTTAGCAGCCACGTTTGGCTAGTGGTTACTGTACTGGACAGAGCATGCAGTTCTAGAAGATACATCTTCCAGATTTGGCTTCTAAATCCCCTGAGATGATCATGTCAATTGTCATGTATACTCCTCGACTTTCTAAAAAGGTCGAGGATCTCTAGCCAGTGTCTTATCAAAGCTTTTGGTACCGGGAACTTCCCTGGAGGGCCAGTGGTTAAGACTCCGAGCTTCCACTGTAGGGGCACAGGTTTGATCCCTGATCCAGGGAACTCAGATCCAGCATGCCACGCGGCATGCCCCCGCCCCCCCCCCAAAAAAAAAAGAAAAAGAAAAAAGCTTTTGGTACCAAGGTGACACAGTATAAATATCCTGATAGATGCAGGTATTGTTATTTAGATGGTAGATACGTGAATAAGTTTTTTTCCTGCAACTACTTGCAGAAAATGTGTAGGTGGAGGTAATGGATATGGGGGAGTGTGTGCTAGGAGTTAAGAATGCTGAGTCTAGAGCCAGCCTGCTTAAATCCTGGCCCTACCTACCGTTTCTAACTGGAAAGACGGGCAGGTTGCTAACCAATCTGCACCTCAGTTTCCCCATCTGAAAAATGGAGGCCATAATACTGCCTGTCTCCAAAGAGCTGTGAGGAGTAACTGAAGTTATCCATGCAGAGAACTCACTACAGTATAAGTGCTTTACAGTATTTGCAAATGCCAAAGATTCTTTTTACCAGAAGTGAAAAAAGCTGTTGGGAGATAAAATCCTCCAAGATGATAGATCTTTTTTACTTCCATTGTGCTCAAAAGCGAGGGAAATTTTCTAAGCAGACTAGCGTTGCATGCATTAAATGGGGCCCTGATCTCTGAGATTGGCCTGGTGGAGGAAGAGCTTGGAAGAGATGCAGGGGTGCCTCCTGCCCTAGGCAAGGAAGGGGTGTGGAGCCTCCTCCAAATATATGCCATCCAAGGCGTTGTTCAACCAGTCAATTCCCCAGTAATAACCTGATTTTGTTCTGCAAGGCAGAGGGTTGGGTATTGGAGGTTGCCTTTTTCCAATGGAGTATTTGGGGGTGGGGGGCAAGTATTGCTCCCTTTCAGCAAGTGATAACAGATACTGTTTCTTCGCTCACTCACTGTGGTGTGGCTACTTTGCGGAGATCTATCATTTAACCCTCTCAGCCAACCTGTGAGGTGTACTGTTCTTATCCCTATCTCTACAGATAAATGAGGCTCAGTTAGTGCCATCTGCCACAAAAGGATGCATTTAAACAGCAGAGTGGTTTGAGCATCTCTGTCGGAGTTTCACAAGAGCCTGCCCACCAGCCCCCTATCACACGCGAAGCTGAGTACATGAGCCTGAACCGCGTCCTCCCCTAACTCAGCTTTCTTTCTCATCTCCGTAG